ATGATTAACCTCACCCAAAAATACGCTAGATTTAGGTGGACAGATGAATGCCAGGCCGCCTTTGACTTCCTTAAAGAAAGCTTAAAAGTAATACCCCTTCTAGCTCACCCAGACACAGATAAGGAGATGGTCTTGTATACAGACGCCTCGGACATTGCTATAGGGGCCTGCCTAACAATACCGATGAGTGAAGGGGAGGCTGAGATTATACCAGGAATAAAGAATGAAAAACCTATTTATTTTCTATCCCATAAGCTTAGCAAAAGCCAGAGGAAATGGCCCGTTATTGTAAAAGAGGCGTTCGCTATCCACTATGCCCTGGAAAAGCTTAACTATTACTTACACAATGCCCGTTTTGTGATCAAAACTGATCACATGCCACTTAAAGGTTTGCTAGAGTCTCCCATACAAAACAGGAAAATACAAACGTGGGCGCTCAATATACAAGCGTATAACGCTAGGATTGAGTACATTCCAGGAACAACGAATACTATAGCTGATTTATTATCAAGAGTTCCCTACAAGGACAGTCCAGATGAGACGGATGTTGGAGATCCAGACATAAACGACCACACGTGGGAAATACATGCTATCAATACAAACAGATTAGAGGGACAAGGTATTAGAGACGAACAGGACGAAACAGGAGAAATCCATGAGGAGACAGGGAGTGACCTTATGGGTTTTGACATGAAAATTGAACAGGAAAAAGACGAAGAAATAAGAAGTATAATAGAGGAATTAAAAACAAACAAAACGTATAAGAAAAATAAAAAATGTCTGATCCTACCAGAGGATGGACAGTTATATTATATAACAAATAAGGAAGATGACCCGATTTTAAGGAAATATATCCCCAGGCATCTATACTTGAGAGTGCTGAACCAGTATCATAATGACAATGGCCACTTGGGAATAGATCGCACTTACGATGCTATTAGAACGAAATATTATTTTCCAGATCTATACCGCAGGGTATACGAGCATGTGAGTAATTGTGAAACTTGTAAACTGAGGAATATGAAGGCCATTAAATGTCCCATGCAGGAACCAGACCAGTCCCTGTTCCCCATGCAAAAGATTAGCTTAGATATTTCAGGACCACACCCTAGAACCTTATCTGGTAACAGGTATATTCTACACATTGTCGACTACTATAGTTCCTGGCCAGAGGCGTACCCAATACCGGATAAGACAACAGATACCGTAATAAGACTCTTTCTTCAGGAATTCGTGTCGCGATTTGGTACTTGTCAAGTTCTAATCTCAGACAATGGCGGTGAATTTGCTTCTCACAAATTTGAGAAAGTAATGAAGGAGATGAATATTAAACATATTAAAACTTCAATTTACCACCCAAATAGTAATGGCAAGAATGAACGCCAACATCGCACCATTTATGATATTATTGCAAAACACGTACATGACAACAAGAGAGACTGGGATCTTTATTTAAATCAAGCGTTAGGAGCCATACGAACAAATATAAATGAGAGCACTAAACATTCACCATATTTTTTAATGCACGGTCGACAGCCATTACTACCACTTGATAACTTGCTTAAACCCCGCAGAAAGTACATGGGTGAAGATTTTCATGAGATAGTATTACAGGAAATGCATAAGGCTCACGTGAAAGTACAGAGGAATGTTAAAAAAGCGTTTGACAAACGTAAACAGTACGCAGACAAAAATGTTGTGTTAGCAGAGTTTAATATCGGAGATAACGTATTTTTCAAAAAACACGTCAGAGAATCTAAGTTTGACAACCGGTGGACGGCCGGATACTTCGTGTTAGAACGTCTAGGGCCGGTAACCTACCTTATTAAAAACCAACTAACAGGACACACCGCCCGAGTTCATGTCGGTCATCTTAAATACAATGACACGCTAAACACAGAGTGTCCGCAACAGGTAGAACAGGATACACACAGGAGAACTACTTTAGCATGTCCGCCAGAGACTGACACTGACAGTCAAATGAGTACCGAAAACGAAAGTGACATAGCAAACAAGGGAACATGCACAGAGGGACACGTAACGACTGCGGAGGTAGAACCGGCACCGACTAACAGGTCGGAGAGTGAGGAGGGTTCAACAGTTAATGAGTCAGATATCGCCGATTTTACAGACGCCCCGTTTATGCATACTAGAGCAGCAACGAAAAGAAACATTAACATAGAAGAAGAAAAAGAAATTAGGCGAGCGTGTAAAGAACGCTCCGCTTCATCTAGCGAAGGAAATCTGCCGATTTTTGAAAGACAGAAAATTATGTCAGAGAGAGAACGTAGGGCATTATTACTTGAGGCGGAGTCTACTGAAGCGTCAGAAAGCTCAGAGGAGATGAAAAGCGACACAGATAGTTGTGGAAACGCGGGCGATTATGAAACAGATCAGGACATGGCCGAGCCCAGAGGAGGAAAGAGAAACCGAAAGCAAACGTCATCCAGTCAGGATGACTGCAACCCACCACATAAAAAGAGGGAGGTAAAAGTGAGTGCAATACATACACGCAGAAAAATGAAAGAGGGAAGACTAACGTTTCAGTGGTCTTTAGATTGTTAGGATAACACATGTGGTAGACAAAACGCTCACAATATTAAAAATCGCGAAACTAGAAGTTCTTCAGAATAGAGAGAAGCTTAATCGCTTAGGAGATTTGATGACCTACATGTTACAGTACAGCAACGAAAACGATTAACATATTAAAAACTGAAATCATAACACTTGATAAACTTACCAGGACGTATATTATTTACATTCCGTCCTCGATAAAAGTAAAGAATTAGTAGATAGAGTTCAACAAGCAGTAGACAAATTATGGAAGAAATTAAATTTTGCCGTCACCGGAAAATTCATAACCAGTTTGCTAATGCCGAGTGAACTTAAACAGTTGCTGCTGATTATCAGACAGATTTTACCCGAAACATTAGATCTAACCCTAGATGTCGATGTCAGCCTAGTACAGTATTATACATCTCTAGTCTGTGATACTGTGATCACGAGGGATCACCTTGTAATGGTTGTTGAGATACCTTTAGTAGAGATACGACCAAAATTTTAGTTATATAGCGTACATAACATTCCCGTACCCATGAAAATTCAGCAAGAATCAGGTACCCCCCCACCCCCCCCCCCCTCCCTTTCCCCATGACTGACTGAAATGGGATCGTTCGTAAAATGGTTCAATAAATGTGGGATTGTAGGGTGTATAACAAGTAATTAGTTTCATTTATTACAATTTACGTACGCTATATTGCTGTGTACAGAGGTACCGCGCTCGCTACACATATTCTGTTGTTGTGTCTACATGTCATTTGTCCGACAATATTAAATATATACCGTAGTTTTGTCCCTACCATTTAATATTTACATTTGGTTTTTGCACTATGAACGTTTTTTAATCGTGTTGTACTCTCTCGGACAAGTGAAAATCCACACGTTCGGTTTTGGGTGAAGATTACAATATCTACATGTTTTATGTTCGCTAAGAGAGTTACTGGCCACAAAACCTCTCTTATACATTCTGTCAGAATGTTGACTGATTTGAGTTTACCAGACTTTACTGAGGTACACAGTTAGAAACGTACTTGGCGATAAGCCAGTCCAAAGCATGACATGATTGGTAACTGAATATAGGCCGGCTATTTCTTTACAGAAGATGCGATATGCATTAAACAGAGGAAGCAACCTCTTAGGGAAGCAACAATAAACCCTGTGGATTATCACAGTAGATAAATGCCTGTAAATACAGGTGGTGGCATTGTACATTCGACTTGAGGAAATGCTACTATTGTTTCCGAGAAATTTCTCTCCAATTAATATACCTAACGGTATAAGAATTATTTATACTCTGTAAAGGTTTTTTCATTCACTTGGCCGACTTAGGCACATCTATTTCTTAGGGGATGTATAGGCACGACTGTGCCACAGCAGGTCGTCTGCAGAATGTCACTCTCATCACAGTCCACCTGAAAGACACCTGGTCTCTCGCCAGCTCTCTTGCCTTGTGTACTTTCATGTTCAAGAAGTCACTTATATCATGTGCCAATCTTCGTGTTGGCTGGGCCCTCCCCCTCCCCTTATGCTTATTTTTATTTAGATTTGTCATATGCAAAGTCATGGTTTTAGGTGATTTTTAAAACACAAATAAAAAACACAAAACAAAAAAAAAGCAATCACTGTTGCCCCCCCAAAAAAAACTTTACGTATGAAAAATCTATATTTTTTAAAGTGACTTAGGGGTGTGAGGATGTAACAGCTAGTATGCTTACCTATCCGTTCAATGGTCACAGGTTTAAACCTTCTAGATTTTTATTAAAAACTTACCAAGACTCCAAATTTCTTCCCTTCCTTTAGTTTCTTAGGGTGAAGTACCAGATAATTTTAATGTGCATTTCTTTTCTAACAAAATTTTCCAAAAGGTCAATTTTAACAAAAAAAATGTATGGGGTGAAAAGGTTAATGGGGACTGTAAAACATGACTCTGACAGCAATCAGAAAATGAGCATCACACAGGTGACGAGGGTATGAAATTACTCACGTCCACCATGTCATATGCAAAATCTCCTGCAACCATATAAACAAAATATAGCTGAAGATGAAACCGTGCAAAAATGTATCAACGCATATGTAAGATGTGAAGGAATGATCAGGGACTCTCAAGATTGGTAGATCAATGTTAAAAACTTCTGCAAAGAAACAAGTATTTAACTGATAATAACACTTAAGATTCATGACTACACTTAAGGAGGAATTTTTTCCTAACTGGGAACTAGACCTGTTTTTCTTCGACTGACATCTCATCACTCACTGTTCTATCAAACCAATTAATAGACTCAGAATTACATTATAAATAATAAAAATAGATACCCAAGACAATGGATTATTTAAAAAAAAAATTGCAATTAAAACTAAAAGAATGTATCACTTTTATGAGAACAAAGTTTGAGAGTCTCTGATCATAAATTTTAATAAACAACATCACAAATACAACTCACCACTTCCATATCATAGGCAAAGTCACCTGAAATGGAGCAAACCACATTACAATCCCCTGTTCTACACTAAACGTCATTTATAATGCATACATTCAAAATGTGCAATGAGAGTGCTAGCAAACACACCATACTGTGCAAAAGGCAACAAAAAGAAATATGTCCCAATACAGAAAAACACAGGTCATTTAAGATTCTTCTTATCATCCTCCAGCTGCCTCAGGGAAAGAGAAATCAGTAGTATCAGGGAAGGAGGTATAAAGATCTTCTATAATTTACAAAAAATATGCATAGAGCTTCTGAATTCCTTGGAAACACTTGAGATGGTGAACATAAACATAATAATCCAGGCATAGTGATACAGCCCTTGGTTGATAATGTTAAGTTCAAAACAAATGACAGTTGAAAACGATGTTCAACATTTTATTCCTGGAAGTTTCTGAAGAGCAAATGCCAGCTATTTTCTGGCCAAAATATCTCCATGAAATTTACAGTGATGCAGGTAGTTACATCAAGATCATCACATGCCCTGCCGACTGGCGTAGGCGTTCAGGCTTCTCCCCAGATCTCGGTCCTTTGTCCTCTGGATCAGTTTTACCGATGATATCCCTCCATGCAACCGTCGCAGTCCATTCGTCATCATCTCTCTCGCTCTGCTTCTCCATCTTCTACCGTTGATCTTCCTAGTCATCACAATATTCTCCAAAGCCTCCCTCCTCATCATAGGACCAAAGAACAGTGCTTGTCTTTTCCAAGAGATTCTTAACATTCCTCTCAAAAACCATATCTCTGTTGCCTCCAAGTTCTTTCTAATCTGTGCATTCATATTTCACAATCCACTAACATACCACAATACAGGTTCTACATAAGGTAGTTACAGGTGTAGTAAAAAATATACAAGAAGATAATGAGCTTAAACAAACAAGTTTTAAACAGCCATAAATTCTCCAAAATTCTAAACACCTTGAGAATGAACAGTAACAGGAGGCTAGCTTCCTAAAAATACAGGCAGGGGTCATCCACAATTAAATTGGGCACAGGACATTACAGAGTGTACATATAAAAAAATAACCATAAAACAGAGACATTAGCCACAGAACAGTCCTAATGGTGGGCTAAATAGGAGCAATATTCTGTAAAGAAAATGCTCACATTCTAAACAATGATCTTCTTCCTTCTTCTTCTTTACTTTCATTGCTTGTAAATTCTGGTTTTTCGTCCACTTCTGGACTTTAGTCTTGATCCAGAACTTAAGGGTTGCATGCACATCTGTTTTACAGAAGAAAACCCCTAATAATTCAACTCTTACGACATAAAAACAAAAAAACTGGGTTGGTCCCCCAAATGCCCAGCCTGACCGCCCAACTACCCACAGGATATTATGTCAGTAATTCAGACTGAATGGAAAACACCCCGGCAAAGGTTTTTTATGTTTGGCTTTGCTATTTGAGTTTTACCCGCGAACTGGTTTTTTTACCGATCCCGGTCCCTTTGACCAGACCAGTGCAGTAGAGCTACACTTAAATCTTAGCCTTGCTTGTTAGGGAGGCAGTGGGTCTATTCCTGTTTTCCCTACAATGGTGCCCTGGAACCCACAGGGAAAAACAATGATTAATACATAATCTGTGGTTCATAAAATTAGCATTTCATATTTCTTAAATTGGGAAGGGATAATGAGGTAATTAGACAATTTTAGATGTTTGCATACATGCTGCCTCTACACAAACTCTACTGGTGCCTTTTCTTCACATTCTAGATGGTCGTAGCCAGAATGTTCTGGGTTCGAATCTTTATGGTAGCAGATTTTCTTTCCCAAATTGCCTTGGCTTCAAGGCTCTTAGTCTAAAATTATAACTAGATGAGTTCCTAGACACCGTTCCCCTGTGGGACACAATTTTTTGTTATTTTGAAGCCCCACCCTGACTTTTGCCAGGGACCCTAAATATAGCAGGGCTAAATGTGACCTAATCGCTGAACAGGGTTTTTGGGAGCTCTCCATGGGTGACCCTCATTCGCATAGTGGCACCGAGTGTTTATCGCTTGTGTGATGTCCTGGTGGATGACAACTTAAATACCTTACCAAGAAAAGGTCCTGGTAAGCAAATGCAGCCAACAGGATGCTTACTGCATAACACAAAGAGTGACATCAAGTCAAACTACCCTTTACCACTGCATGCAGCTCCACCTATATACTCCTCATCTTATTAATGTTTTAAATTCTCTTTTATTTTTTGTGTCTCCCTTTACTGTCCCATGCTAACTCAAGTGCAAGGGCATTTCAGTCACATTATCATCAGGATTTCTCAATGTGTGTCATATGCGGTGCCAGCTTCTTTTGCTCACCCTTTGGTTTTCTGGAATTAATGATAATGTAGTTATGACCATTTAAACTCTGTGTCAGGTAATGTGACAGAAATTAATAGAATTTATGCTAACATCTTACTAGATCAATAATCCAACTAGATTTATGTAACTTACCTGATTTATGGTAATTTTTCACTAGATTTATGTGAACCTCTCACTAGATTCGTGTGAACCTCTCACTAGATTTATGTGAACCTCTCACTAGATTCATGTGATCCTCTCACTAGATTCATGTGAACCTCTCACTAGATTTATGTGAACCTCTCACTAGATTCATGTGATCCTCTCACTAGATTCATGTGATCCTCTCACTAGATTTACATGTATGTGAATTTCTTACTAGATTTATGTGAACTGACTAACTTTATAATAACTTTTCAGTAGATTTATATGAACAGACTAGATTTATGTTAACTCCTCACTAGATATACTTGCACTACAACGTACCGACATGAAGGATGGCATCATACATGCCAGCTGCTGCGTCCATCTCGAGTCTGGCAAGTGACTGCGGATTTTCATTACCCAGGTCACCAAAAATGGCCAGCCTGGGACTCCAATTATCGCCCGATGGCCACGTCCGGAAAGAAAATATGTTTGAATAACCATAGTCTTTGCTGCCAACCATGTATGCTGAAAAGAATATCAAGATAACGATTATAAAATAAACCAAACATATGTAATGCTCAACAATATTTGGAAGCCAAAGGAATTTAGTTTCAAGGCAAAGCTCAGTTTACAATACAACATCATCATCTTGGGAATCCTGTTACACAACCGTGGGCACTGGAAAATGACTACGCTCTACACCTAAATTAAAGACTTTTAAAAATAAATGTCTAAGGAGAAACCTGCAAATATTTTGACCAAACAAGATAAAAAGTGAAAAATGTAGGAGGAAAACATAATTTTCATCATTAGTAAACATTAACAAAGAAAAAAGATGGAAATAGCCTGGGCATGTTTGAAAAAATGGCTTATGACACTTTGGTAAGGACAGCTTAGTGGCTAGAAGATGGAATGGGGAGACAGGGATGAGCTAAGGAAACTTGGAAAAATACAGTAGAAAGAGATATGAAGGCAGATGGAATAAGGAGACAGGGATGTGAGATATGAAGGAGTGTAAACTGACATGGGATACCATGGGTTGAAAAGCAGCAACGGAGATCACATGTGAATTTCTTATGTATCAACACATGAAGAAGATATACACAGACTGTAAAATATGATTTTTAAAAATTTCTCAGATACAGATTAATTCTACATATGAAATTATATATCTTTTGCATTACCATAGTTTGAGATTTTTTATTAAGAACACAAAGAGTGTTCTTGAGGAGAAGCTGGCCAAATGGTTAGAATGCTGAATTCCCATGGGGAAGAGCCGGGTACGAATCCTGAGTAAGGTTAGCCCCCCCCCCCCAATATACACAGTAGTCGCCGAGTAGTGAAATGCAGAAACATCTTCATAGAGACTGCTTGTTTAAAAACGTCACCATTATGTGACACATATCCCGCCATATTTACAATGAATTACAGTAGTTACGTGTTGTGTGTTGGTTATGAAAAGTGTCTGGAGGCTACTGGGAATCACTTGGAGCAACTGTAATTACTTCACAGATCACACGTAACTTGCATGCATCTCTTCGTGTTTGAATAAATGCAGTATCAAAATGTTTATACAGGTTGCTATTTAAGAAATTACATGCAACACATTTGCTATTGTAATGTATATTACGATGCTACAGCAAATATCGTACACGGAGAATAATTTCACTTATGGGCGATTACCGTGCCTATATTTTTTTAAGGCTAACTCTGTGCTTTTGTATAGATACCCTTCAAGTTGACATTTGAGCCTACTAATGTGGGCTCCCGGGGCAATCTGGCTTAACTCTGTCAGTCCCACAAATCTCATCGGCAATGCCTAACGATTACTTCATCATCGTCCTGTAACTCTGCATGCATGTTGTTGGGTCACCAGTTGCTGTTGACTGTCTGATCAGCTCTCTTCATCTTTGATGGTAAGATGAAATGGACTTCATGGTTGCATGCCTAAGGCCAGTCCAGTCAGTCAAGTTCTTTATCCAGGCCTTTCTTAATCTGCCTCTTCTCCTCTACTGAACCCTGTAGTATTAATTTTGAGAAGCTGTTAGATTTTATAACAGGTCCGTACCATTGCATTTCCATTTTTTCACTGTAATTAATAGAAATTCTACAGTTAACAATGTCCTGCTTGCCACTGAGTACTTAGCCACAAGGAATAAAGCATACAAGCATTACTTTCACAAAGTTTTATATAACTTCCAACATAAAACATACTGTGTTGAATTTTAACAGTAAGGGTTAAATGTTTACCATAAAAGCCCGATCATCATCATGTGTTATTTGGAACACATGGGGAGGAGCTGATCCCACATGATGTGTGGGTTAGGAATAAAAGTTAAAATGAGAGCCAAGAAATTTCCTCAAAGTTAAAAGCGCACAGTCAGTGTAAAAATAAAAGACTACATGAAAGATAAAAAAGGCATATACTTTGTTTATTCACAACAAAAGTCCAAATATGACCACTGCACTGGATTCCACACAGAATATGAAAGGAAGGACTGCGCAGGAAAAAACAGAATGGAAGGATCGACTGCAAGCTCCATATGATGTATAAATGGGACAAAGGGTTGATGATGGAACTAAACGAATGTAACTACCCAGGAACTACTAAATCTGTCACATAATAAAAGCAATAAACTAACTATTCATTTGTAAACATACAATATAAATTATTCATTTTAGCTTACCCAGCATTCATTTAGGGCTGTACTTACAGTAATCAGTTTCAGGCAACAGCCCTTTCAGTATGACCTTGTGCACCCACTGGGACCTGCGCTCCGGCCCACTGTCCACAAACAGAGACCTATTACCCACAGCCAGCTGGTTGAACTTGGATCCAGCACCATAGATCACTCGAGTATCACCAGTATCATTGATGGTGTTCCAAACAACAATAATCTGATCCGATGTTCCTGGAGAAGACAACATATCAATTCTGTAGTAGGAATACAACTTCCTCTTCTTCTTCGCCATTCATGCCTTTGTCTTTCAAACATACACTCATATTATGTATTCTGTTAAATTATCATAACATGCCTTGTTAATAAAAATACACTGGGAGTGTGACAGGAGTGTTTGAAAGGGCTGAATGTAAGGTGGCTCTGCGTGCCCAATTTGTGACCCTTTAAAAATCAAGTTCATTCATTTTTTTGTGTTTTTTTTTATTACCTGCCTGGAGAGAATGAGGTATCTGGGTGTAATCAGAGGGTCTGGCCGGCTCACTCAGAGGAAAGGCAAGACGGACATATAACCAGATTGTGACCAGTACCATCAGTATTGGAACTCTGTGCTGGCTGCTGAAGATGAGGACAGAGCATGCACGGGAATGCCCTGAGTGCTGTGATGTCAATTCTTGACTCAACTCAACTCTTTGATTACCTCTGTAAAACTTTAGTGGGTAGAAGGGATCTTCTGCGTGATTTTTCTTATATACTATATAAACTAGCGTGCTCCTACTTTCTATTCTAATTGGATGCTTCCTTCGAAGTCATAGTAAATTCGCCTTAGAGGCAAGGAACCAGCAGTTTGTATACAAATGTCAGATATTTAAAACTGATGTATACGCAACATTCAGGTTCTAGAACAAGCAAAACTTTTCTCATTGCAAAACTGAAGAGAAATGGAATCCAAGGAAACATGCTAAAATGGATCCAATCCTTCTTACACAGCAGGAGAACTAGAGTCAGTCTTGATGGCCAGCAGAGTAGAAAAGTGTTACTTCGGCAAGGAGTACCACAGGGAGGAGTTATCTCTCCAACTCTCTTTCTTGTGTATATAAATGATCTGGTGAAAGACCTCCCTACAGGAGTAAAAGCTGCCCTGTATGTAGATGATCTGGCACTGTGGTGTACCGACAAACACACCACAGTGGCAAATATAAGAATGCAGCGAGCAGCAGATCTCTTGATGACATGGGCAGAAAAATGGCATGTTGCCATCAACACAGACAAAACATCCACAACGTTTTTCTCTCTTTCCCCCAGGGACAAAGCTACTAGTATTCACCTAGGAACATCCTTGCTAAAGGAAGAAAGCTTCCCCACTTATCTTGGAGTAACATTTGATAAAAGGCTCACATGGAGCAAACATATAGAAAATGTAGAAGGGAAGGCCAGGAGACGACTAGGCCTACTTAGAAAACTGGCAGGTACAGGATGGGGAGCGAATGGAAAAACCCTAAGGAAAGTTTATAATGGAGCGATAAGACCCCACTTGGAGTTTGGTGCAACAGCATGGTCAACAGCTGCTAATTCCCATCTACAATCGTTAGACAGAGTGCAAAATCAAGCTCTTAGACTCATCACAGGATCCATGAAAACTGCACCAATCCTGAAGATGCAGAAAATAACTGCAATGCAGACGCTGTCCTATAGAAGAGACACTAAAACTATGATCCAGATGGAAAAGTTTAATAGTATGCAGTCACACCCAATGAATAAAAGGTTAGATGATCTGGCATTAGGGCGTCTCAAACGTAGCAGCTTTGTCCATCGGGGGAAAAGACTTAGAAGACAGTATCAAGCTGATCTACCTATTAGAACAACACCGCTGAAACCTACCCTATACCCTGTACCTTGGGAGCAAGTCAGTGATATAATACAGATAATGACTTCAGTCAATGGATTCACAACTGGAGATGTCCAATGATCTTCAAAAATGAACAGCTGCTCTTAGCATGATTCATGAAAACTATCCCGAACAGTCATGGATACATGTTTACACAGATGGATCAGCAACCAGTGCGGTTAAAAATGGGGGTGCTGGAGTCTTTATTACATACCCAGGCAACCACCGCCACACAAAGTGGATACCCACTGGTAAATTCTGTTCCAACTACACAGCAGAGATTGTAGCACTAGAGCAGGCTGCCGAAATGTTACACAATACCAGTTCTGACTGCCACCAAGTGGTCATATTCACAGATGCGCTATTAGTGCTTCGAGCCCTCAAGAGTGGCAAACTCCCTCACTTGAGATCTGAACTTGGCAAGGTGGCTGCCCAAAAGTGTACTGTACTCCAGTGGGTGCCATCCCACTGTGGTATACCAGGAAACGAAACCACAGATAAACTTGCTAAAAAGGGGGCAGAATGTGACCAGGAAGAGAATGCAGTAACATACTATAAGAAGAAAAGGGCCATCCAGGCTATTAGAAGTGAACAGAGTCTGGCCAGAGATGACTACCACTTACTTGACCAGCATGAGCAGGTCATTGTCCTATGTCTCAGGACAGGACATAATAAACCTAACCAGCATATGCACAGGCTTCGTCTAAGTAGTTCACCTTTTTGCCCTTGTGGGCTATGTGTGCAGACTACAGAACATGTCCTGCAAGACTGTCCCTTGTTCAGCCCATTAAGAAAGGAATACTGGCCCAGTGAATCACCACTGTATACAAAGTTGTATGGGACTAAAAATGAACTCATAAAAACAGTCAAGTTTATCACAAGAACCTGTCTGTCGGTGTAAATCAGAAAGCGAACACAAGAAGAAGAAGAAGAAGAAGCAAAACTTTCTGCCAGTTTACAGCCAGTGAATGCAAAGAAGAGAAAGAATCCATTCTGACCTAGATAATCTCCCATGCCATGATGTCAAGCTTTCCAGCATCTTCTCTCTCTGTCTACCTCTGTCTTTTTACCTCCTCCACCTTTCCCTTTCCCATCGTCACACTGTACTCCCATTTTCTCCTTCTCATGATATGACCAAAGAATGCAGACTGCCTCCCTTCTGATGTGGGTAATCAAAGTTCTCTTCGTGATTCAATTTCTTTCAAGATATGTTCATTACTATTTTCGTCTGTCCAATGTGTTCTCATTATTCATCTATAAAACCACATCTTCTTCACTTCCAAATGATTTGTCACTAACCTAATATGTCTTTGAATGTTGAATTAAGAATTGAAATCACAGCACTCATGACACTCCCAGAAGTGCTCAATCCCCATCTTCTGCAGCAAGCGAAGAGTTCTAATTCTGATGGTACCAGTAACCGTCTGATTGTATATCCATCTCAGATTCCCTGGTAACTCCTCGCAGCACCATTCCTCCTTAGACCGCAATGATTTGTCTGCGCCTCCACGCTGTTCACTCGTTCTCAAAGGGCCCTAACAAAATCTAACTTGCCATACATCAATTTCGCTTGTGTGTCACTGGGGCCCTCTTTAGAAGCAAAGAATAGTGACACTGCACCCTACCAGGCATGTCGTAAGAGATGGCTAAGGGTAGGGTTGGGCTTGAGGTTGGCTAATTCATCCTGTAAAAACAATAGCCACAAAAACCAACCAACCATGGATAAGTCAAAAAGAGAAGCAAGTAATACCCAGCCAACCAAGATGAGAAGAGGCTCTTCAAGTAGAAGTATGACACGGTGTGGAGAAAGCCGTAAGGAGTCCGGATCATTGACGTACCTCCTCTCAGCTAGGAAAACCTCCAGAATTGGCACCTGGAATGTTAGAACTCTCTATGATATAGGAAGAACAATGGAAGTAGCAAGGGAAATGAACCATTATAGAATTAGTATTTTAGGGTTATGTGAAACTAGATGGACTGGGGTGGGGAAAAGTATTATAAATTCAGGGGAAACTATTTGGGGAAAAGTATTATAAATTCAGGGGAAACTATTTTGTTCTCAGGACACAGAGAGGAAAATTCGCCCCACAGAGAAGGAGTGGCCCTGATGCTATCGAAAGAAGCAGACAGGGCACTAATAGAATGGGAAGCTGTGAGTCCCAGAATAATAAGAGCATCTTTTAGAACAGCGAAAAAGAAAGTGAACATGTCGGTAATACAATGTCTACGCATCAACAAATGATAAAGATGTATCTGTTAAGGAAGAATTTTACATGCAGCTTCAAAATATTATAAATAATGAAAGAAAGGGCAATTTAAACATTTTAATGAGTGACCTAAATGCTAAGATAGGATCAGACAACACAGGTTGTGAAGAAATTATGGGAAGACATGGTCTAGGAGTAATGAATGAAAATGGAGAATTGTTCACAAATTTGTGTGCAGGAAACCAGTATTTTATTGGTGGAAGTATTTTTCCCCATAAAAAGAATACACAAGGCAACATGGGAATCACCAGACCATAAGACAAATAATCAAATTGATCACCTATGTATTAACAAAAAGTTTAGATCATCCCTTTATGATGTTAGGACTTTCAGAGGTGCCGATGTCTTTACCGACCATTTCCTGGTGGTAAGTAAAATCAAGATGAAACTTAAAAGATATATAACATCTTATAATCATAGAAAACAATATAATGTAGGTTATCTCAGGGATAAAGAAGTTAAGGAACAGTTTTCAGTTACAGTCTCTAATAAGTACCAGGTGTTGCAGCAGTTAGCTTAAGATGTCAGCACAGAAGTCTGCTGGGATCAGATCAAAGGAATCTGGAATTAATCTTGTGTAGAAGTTCTTGGCAAGTAAGAATGGAAACATAAAGCATGGATAACACCAGAAACCATTAAATTGATTGAAGAAAGGAAAAGTAAAAAACGCAGACTTAAACAATTGCTGCTAAAGCAAGAGCTCCGGATAATACACAGAACCCAATAAGTTCTTGGAAAAATAATAAGTAGAATTATTTTGGAAAGATTAAAAGATACCTCTGATAAAAAGCTAAGAGATGAACAGGCAGGTTTTCGATCAAACAGATCCTGTACTGACCAGATAGCCACATTACCTATTATAATAGAGCAAAGCATTGAACTGAACTCACCACTTTACATTGGATTTATACACTATGAAAAAGCATTTGACAGCATTGATAGGGAATCTCTCTGGAAATTGATGGGGCTCTATGGAATCCCACAGAAAATTATCAACTTAGTAAAGGCAACATATAAAGACATGAAATCTCGAGTTCTTCATGAGGAAAAGCTAACAGATACATTTGAAAAAAAAACAGGTGTGCGACAGGAATGTCTTTTGTCGCCTCTTTTATTTTTAATGGCTATAGACTGGATTATGAAAACAGTAACTGCTAACACCAAGAATGGAATTCAGTGGACCCCTACAAAACAGCTTGAGGATCTGGACTTCGCTGATGATAGTTCTCTTCTGTCCCATTCACGGAATCGGATGCAAGATAAATTAAATATACTTGATGCGAGATCACAGCAGCTTTGTCTGAAAATCCATAAAGGAAAGACAAAGATAATGAGAATAAATCAGGCAAATAGTAATGTGGTTTCTCTTAATGGCACTTCACTGCAAGACGTGGAGTCGTACACCTATTTGGGCAGTATTGTAGATCAAGATGGAGGAACTGATAAGGATATTAAAATAAGAATACAAAAGGCAAGAGGAGCTTTCACAGCATTAGGGAATTTGTGGAGGTCAAAAGAAATACTAAACTAAACATTTTTAATTCTAAAGTCAAATCAGTACTTTTGTATGGGGTGGAAACATGAAGAACAACTAAGGCAATTACTAATAAATTACAGACATTCATTTACTGGTGCCTGCACATAATAGAAGGAATTAAATGGTATGATAGATTAACTAATGTAGAGCTTTGGGAGAGAACTAAACAGGCCCCAGTGGACCAAGAGGTGAGGAAAAGAAATAGGACACACACTGAAAAAAACAGCATAACTAGAATGTCTTTGCATTGGAACCCACAGGGGCATAGGAATAAAGGAAGGCCAAAAAACACATGGAGAAGAGAGCTGGAGAATGAAGTTAGAAAGATGGGGAGGACATGGGGAGAGATCCATGAAATAGTGAAGGATAGAGCGACTTGGCGTGAGTTGGTTGAGGGCCTATGCTCCATTGGGGGATAGAAAGGCAGAAGAAGAAAGAATACATCAATTTACCACCAAGTGGTGCAGAGCCAGGTTTTTGTACCTTATATGTCTTGACCTAGAATATTTCTCAGCCTGACACATCACACCCCAGTGGCAGTATCTGTTATGGGACTACCTTTTATTTTGACTTAAAAATTATCATCTATTATCAGACTTTCTATCTACTTTATAAAAAAAAAAGTTGCATTTTTCTGAATGCTTACGTGTCTCTAATCAAGTTTATCTTCATTCACTGATTAGAAAAGATAAATAATCTACAACCACTCTGAACTAATGGTGAATGTTTGAAAAATTAAACCTTGATAAAATGACTCAACTAGTTGTGATCATCATCCTCATCATGTGCCCAGTTGGCATAGGCGCTCACGCATCTCTACAGATCATGATCCCTGGTTGTCTGGAACAGCTCTCTCTCATTACGTGGCCAAAAAACAGTGTTTGTCGCCTTCTTTTGTTGTATATAGAGATCTACTTTTACTAGCTTCTTTCAAACAACCGTTGTTAGTTACTCTGGCCGTACAAGGTATCCGTAACATTTGTCTCAGAAACCAAAATTCTTCTTTATTTGTTCACTGACATTCCAAAATTTGCTGCTGTACAGCAAAACAGGTTCTATGTAACATTTTAGCATTCTCTTTCTGACATTAAATGAGAGCGATTTATTGCATAAGATATTTTTAATTTTCTGAAATGCTGCCTTCACTTGACCTATTCTGCTTTTAATCTCATCACACATTTTCCATCTGATGATATGGTTGTTCCCAGATATTTGAATTTATTGACTTGGTTAAGCCTTTTTCCTTCAATTGAGATATCACAATGTGGTGTTATCTACTTCTTTGATATAACTTTACCTCAGTTTTATTAATATATAAGGAAAGTCCTTTCTTAGAACTCCATGCCCACAATATCCAGCAGTTGTCGTAAATCAGTTGCGTTATCAGCTATCAAAACTGTATCTTCTGCATAAAGCAAATTGTTTATATTGTATCCTTCCACTTGAATTCCTGCTTTTTCTTTAATTTCCCTCAAAACTACTTCACTATATAGAGAGAAAAAGTCTGGGGATAAGACACACCCCTGTCTTACTCCTTACTTCATCTGTTTCCCAATTTAATTTCTGCTACTTGGTACCAGTAAATGTTTTGAATTATTTTGAGATATTTCCCATCTAAATTGATGTCCCCCAATATTTGTATCATCTCATATTTAACTTTGCCAAATGCTTTGGTATAATCTATAAAGCACAAATATAAGTCCTTTTGTATGTCCCTTGATGTTTCTATCAGTTTTCATAATGTCTATACTACATTACTTGTCCCTTTACCTTCTATAAATCCAAACTGCTCTTCATTCCTATTTTTTTTCTTGTTCTTCTCATTATAATTCTAAGTAGTAATTTGGTGACATGATTTATTAAGTTGATTGTACGAAATTGTCAAAATTCAATTGCTCCTGGTCATTTTGGTTCTGAATCATTGTTTGTCATAGATGAATTTGAGCCAGATAGTGACTGTCATAGTCTTGACATTATGATTAATATTGCAAGTGCAGCAACTATTGCAGACAATTGGGTTGGGATAAAGTTGAACAAAATGTTTCATCGGATAGTCCCTGTTTTGATCAGCTGTGTCTGGAATTTAGATGAATTCAGCTATGAAACTTGACATGTCAAACAAAAATGGTCCAAAAATCTTAATTATTTAGACTCACTGTTTCAAATTAAGACTAGCTGGTGCATAACTGAACAGAGAATGCATGTGAATTCTTAGAAATAGATATAAGTGTAACTGATCAAATAAAAAAGGGTAAGAATCACTAATGTAGAGCTTTGGGAGAGAACTAAACAAGTTCCAGTGGACCAAGAGGTGAAGAAGAAAAGACGCTGGCATTGGATAGGACACACGTTGAGAAAACCTGCTGGCGTTGGATAGGACACACGCTGAGAAAACCTGCTGGCGTTGGATAGGACACACGCTGAGAAAACCTGCTGGCGTTGGATAGGACACATGTTGAGAAAACCTGCTGGCGTTGGATAGGACACATGTTGAGAAAACCTGCTGGCGTTGGATAGGACACACGCTGAGAAAACCTGCTGGCGTTGGATAGGACACACGCTGAGAAAACCTGCTGGCGTTGGATAGGACACACGTTGAGAAAACCTGCTGCCGTTGGATAGGACACACGTTTAGAAAACCTGCTGGCGTTGGATAGGACACACGTTGAGAAAACCTGCTGGCGTTGGATAGGACACACGTTGAGAAAACCTGCTGGCGTTGGATAGGACACACGCTGAGAAAAACTGAGGGCATATAAATAAAGGAAAACCAAAAACACATGGAGCTAGGAGCTAGAGAGTGAAGTTAGAAAGATGGGAGGAAATTGGGAGAGCTGCATGCGATAGCGAAGAATAGAAAGACTTAGTGTGAGATGATTAAGAGCCTATGCTCTATTAGTGGTTAGAAAGGCAAACAAAGAAGAAGAAGAAGACACTTGTACACAGTACTACTACTACTACTTGCAGTTAGTTTAGTTTAGAGTTTAGTTATTTAAATAATTGGCTCTCCTGTAAACTACGGCCGGTAGACAACAGTCGACGGCCGGTTAGTCAGAGTTCTGTCCCCTGGCTGCAGTGCAATTACGGACTGGAGACAGCACGAAGAAAAAAATTCAGCGACCCGAATTAGCGACCGCGTTCAATTACCACTTCTTGTGACGCATTACGGAGTGGACTAGAGGGAACGAAACAAGTGACATAATTACTGTGTGTCGGCGATAGACAGCGTGCAGTGCCCTAGGGTTTGGGTTAGGTTTAGGGGTAGGGTTAGGGTTTGGGTTAGCGTTAGGGTTTGGGTTGCTACTATAAGTGTGTGCGAAGACGAGATGCAGCGACACTAACCGTAACCCTAACCCAAACCTAACCCAAACCGTATGATTATAGCAGGGCAGTGCACGCTGTCTATCACCAACACACAGTAATTGTGTCAACTGTTTCGTTCCCTCTTTTTCCACTCCGTAATTGCACTGTAGCCAAGGGACAGAACTCCGAATAACCGGCCGTCGACTGTTGTCTACTGGCCGTAGTTGACAGGAGAATGCTGTTGAGAATTTAATTACCGAAGATGGGAAATTGGATAAAGAAATTAACATTAGATGCAGTAAAGCAAACCAAGTATTGGGACAGTTAGCTCCCCTCTTACAGCATAAGACAATCCCAATCAGCACAAAGAGCCATCTTATCCAAAGCATATTTATTCCAACTCTGTGTTACCAGTGCCAGACATGGTCACTCACAACAAACCATAAAAGAAAATTAGTAACTATGGAAATGAGATGTCTGAGAAGGGCTGTAGGAGTGACCATAAGAGATAAGATCAGGAATGAGATCATAAGAGAAAACGTCGGCACAGAACCAATTCTAAATTACATACAAAGACAGCAAGTGATATGGTTTGCCCACTTAGAGAGAATGCCTTGTGACCCCATACCATACACAGCATACATGGAAAGAGAAGAAGGACGTAGAGCACGAGGTAGACCAAGAACAAAATGGAAGGATAACATCAGAGAAACTCTACAACAGCACGATGTGCCTATGGTCGAGGCAGCCAGAAGAGCTAGAAACAGAACCTTATATCTCCCTCGACACCCACAGCGGTAAAAGAGGAAGTGAAGAAGAAGAGAAGAAGAGGAAGATAATTTAATTTACCTCCCACGGCAATATGAGTCTGCTGTGGCTCGTACCACACGATTCCATTGCCAACAGTGAAAACCCCAAGCAGGAAGGCAATTAACAACCACATTCTGGGCGATGGCTTGATAATTTAACCAGAAACACCTGAATTTAACAAAACCTGATCAGCTGCACGTCCAATGTCTTTTATCTTCAGAGATCACAAACAATAATATATCGTCACGTGATAGCAAACCGGAAATGAACTATGGGCGGTTCCAAATAATTAGGGCAGGGAGTTCATCTCTAGTTTATTGTTTGAATGCGAATTATGAGGCCTGATAAACTCAAACATTAAAGATTAAATGGACCGATGGGCTGAATATTTTGAAATACTTCTGAAAACACCAGCCCCAGAGGTGCCTCCAGAGATTTAACCTTTAGAAATTGAACTGAATATCAGCTGTGAGATATCTAAAGGGGTTAGGAAATTAGGGAATCTATGAATCTTATGCTGGGTTAGTTCGAAGTTAGTCTCCCCCAGACTCCGCCCATATCCAGAGTAGCTCACTTCTGATTGGTAGTTCCTGAGCCCCGTGTCATTTGCACACGGTTACGGGGGTGTTCCTAATGCCGTCGATATCGCGTGTTGTATATTTCAGCACGCCAGCGCTTTTAACACACACACACAAAATAAAGAAACTGGGTCTAACCCACCCCCCCTCCCCAGAGAGTACTGAAACCGATGTCACAGGCATTCTCTTTCTCGGAATGAAAATGTAAATGTAGGACATCGCAGAGACCAGACAACAGAGCGGGACAGTAAAGTCGACCAGCCCAACAAACTTGTGAATGAAAAGATCCCTACTCTATTTGGGGAGACTAACATCGAATTAACCCTTCTGCTGAAAGGAAAGGCTGTAGGCCCAGATGGTATCCCGGCAGAAGTTAAGGCCAGTATAAACACATCTACAGAATTGCTACACAGATTGTTCAGTAAATAGTGTAGGGAGACCGAATAAGTACCAGAACAGTGAAAAGAAGGATATCTTGTGAAACTGCTCAACAAAGGTAATCTGCAGGAGTGTGAATACTACAGAGGAATTATTTTCCCTCAGTCCTGGAGAAAAAAAAAATTCAGAAGGATTTTTTTGGAAAGACTAAAAAAAAAAAAAAAAAAAAGCTTCTGATGAAAAGTTAAGAGATGAACAGGCAGGCTTTCTGCCAAAGAGATCATGAACTGGCCATATAGCCACACAACGCTTAATAATAAAGCAAAGCGTTGAACTGAATTCACAACTTTACATTAAATTCTCAACTTTGGCTGACATAGGTAAAGTCTAGACTATCACAGGCACAAGCCATGACCTACGTGCGAGTTACCAATCATGAAAGGCATCGGTTGTATGGCACTCTGGGAGATGGTAGGGCAGACCGATGGAAAAGAGGAAAGTCATGGATGGTACTAGCTGAAGATAACATCGGGCTAGCGGCCTCAGTCGAACAAATAAATACACAAGGGCGGAAAAGGGGGGGGGGGGGCCAGAAATAGCTCGACGGGAAGACAAGCAACATCAGTTTCCGTCAAGTCATTATTTCATTAGGAAGAGACTGTAGAGAGTGGTGTAATGGTATGGCAAAATTAATGATAAAGCTGATAGATGAAAACGATGGGCTTAAGGATATAATTGTATACACCAGTGTTTCCGAAACTTTTTTGGCCCACCACCCCCCTTTTCAGTAAAAAAAAAAATCCATAGCCTCCCTCCCCCATCTTTTTTTTCTTCCTGGAAGCATCATCAACATCATGTGCCACTGTTCTAAGTATAAACGATCATTATTCGCCATCATTGACGGTCATCATAACCGCGGATCACAATGTGCTGTTGTCACACTCCATCCGCCCCGTGTATGTGACCGAGCTATCAAGGTATTTATCTTTTTGTCTTCACGATGTCCTCTTTCTATCAATCTTGCCAGTTGTCACCAAGTTCTCGAGTCTGTTCTTTGCTTTGAGATAAACCTTCTGTAATCGATTTCTCAAGATGCATAGTAGTCTGGAACAAGTTTACCAAATACTCTCTGTCTCTGTCTCTGCCTCTGCCTCTGTCTCTGCCTCTGCCTCTGTCTCTGTCTCTGTCTCTGCCTCTGTCTCTGTCTCTGTCTTTGTCTCTGTCTTTGTCTCTGTCTTTGTCTCTGTCTTTGTCTCTGTCTTTGTCTCTGTCTTTGTCTCTGTCTTTGTCTCTGTCTTTGTCTCTGTCTTTGTCTCTGTCTTTGTCTCTGTCTCTGTCTCTGTCTATGTCTCTGTCTCTGTCTATGTCTCTGTCTCTGTCTTTGTCTCTGTCTCTGTCTCTCTCTTTGTCTCTGTCTCTGTCTCTCTCTTTGTCTCTGTCTCTCTCTTTGTCTCTGTCTCTGTCTCTCTCTTTGTCTCTGTCTCTGTCTCTCTCTTTGTCTCTGTCTCTGTCTCTCTCTTTGTCTCTGTCTCTCTATTTGTCTCTGTCTCTCTCTTTGTCTCTGTCTCTGTCTCTCTCTTTGTCTCTGTCTCTGTCTCTGTCTCTGTCTCTCTATCTCTCTGTCTCTCTGTGTCTCTCTCTTTGTCTCTGTCTCTCTCTTTGTCTCTCTCTCTGTGTCTCTCTCTGTGTCTCTGTCTCTCTCTGTCTCTGTCTCTGTCTCTCTCTTTCTCTCTCTCTCTCTCTCTCTCTCTCTCACTCACTCTCTACAGCTGTCTCATTTTCAGTCAATGATTTCCAGCTACACCTGAGGTTTCTACCGTTCAATAGACCCAACCAGCGCGCCCCTCCCCTCCAGTTTGATCGATGTCGCCACGTCAAGTACGTATACCGAGGAACTACTGTAGCATTCAACATTAGTGACAATTATATCTAATATTATTGAAGCCAATGTCCAAAGTTACGATTCGTTGTCTATTCAATCACATGACCAAATTAAAGGGAAAATGGCATACCCAATTTAATTAAACTATAAACATAGATTATTAACCAGGATACTTAGGAACCTGAATTTGCATTGTATAAAAATATTAAATTAAAGTAATTAGCAAATGAGTGACGTTGAATCACACCAGGACCTTGCCTTTCTTTTTTTTCTTTAAAAAAATCGCCAGGTTCAACCAGCTCCTTCAGAAAAAGAAGCGTTCGGTTATAACTGTAGTTCAGTGAAGAAACAATTGTGAACGAGGGCTTTCTTCTACTGATGATTGGTAGACTCCTGCTGCATCTGCTTCCCTGTGACGTTTCTTCTTATTGTGATGTGTTTCTTGCGCTGTTGGCCTAAATTGGGTTTGTGTGCCATATTAAATGGCTCAGTGTCCCTATCTGTTTCTTATTGTTCTCTCCTGCCCATCCATATCTTGGTCCTGTTATGGGCTTTATGGTTTTTTTTTTTATATGAGCACCCTCCTGTTAATTAGTCATTACTGAATTTTATGCCTGTTTCTGTACTATTCCACAGTATTGACTGTTCCCTTTCATTTTATGTCCCTATTATTTGCTATTATGTGTAGTCCCAGTCCGTCTGTATCTTCTTGCTCTAGAATTAGCTAGACTGTTCCTCATTCAGTCACTGATTCCTTGGCTGTGAATTTCCTGTTTCTGTGGTTTCGAAGTCCTTAAAAAGACCTTTTGTGTCCGCTGATCGCCTCGGAGGTATTTGCGACTCACCAGCCGACTCAAACCTACCCCAACCCTTAAAAAAAAAAAATATAGGAAAAAAGGGAAAGAAGTGTGTGGGGGGGGGGGGGGGGGGGGGGGGGGGGGTTTAATTCTTTCCAATATTTTGAGGTCATGAATTTTGATTTAATTTATAATCTGGAGGCCTCAGTTGTCTAAACTGTGAGATGTGAATTGTGAATGAAATTTCCAAAATTTGAATCTTATCAATGTGATCTTAGTAATTGTTTTTAATCTGATCAATTTCGATCTTAACAGAATAAACCTCAGCTGAAATAAATCTTATATGTTATACATAATATGATCTGCTTAGCAATATACTGATATTTGCTTACCGTACTACAACAACCACCTCATTCAGGAGACACAGCTTGTTTTGTCCTTCCTGTCCTAAAGATTCCCCCCCCCCCCCCAAGTGATACATTAAATGTGGGCTATTGGTTAAGTCTGAAGTATATGTTAATTTGGTTATTCAATTAAGTTTCTAGGGTATGTAAAAACTTTGTTTAAAAAAAGGGTGGGGGGATGTCACGGAAGGCGAAAAGGGGGGGGGGGGATTATATTTATAGTATTTATAATGTTTCTATTAAGACTCGCAGTGCCATACTCCTCTGATCGTAATGATCTGTCTGGTCCTCGTCACTGTTCACTCGCTCCCAAAGGGCCCGCACAACATCCAGCTTGTCATACATCATTTTACCACCAAGTGGTGCAGAACCGGCTAGTCGATCTGCCTGCTCATTTCCCAACACACTGGCATAACCCGGAGAGAATATCCAAAGGATGTTAACTACCCGGGACCTCTGAAATGATGCTTGCCACTCTGCACGGAGCATGCCTGTCTCCACCTTCTCAGCATGCTCTGTGAGTCAGTTACAATGACGACATGGAAATACATTCAGTGAGACATGAAGCTGTCCTAATGCTGACGACATGGAACGATTTTTGTGTGTGTGGAAAGCTAATGCCGCTTTCATGGATTAATTAAGCTGTCAGTGACAATTTACACGTTTAGTTACTTGTTGTAAAACTAACAATACTTTCACTCCTATGTATTAGTTACCACAGACTGACTGACTGAAGAATGCAAAACATGAAATGTATTTAAATGTTTACTATTCTGTACTACATTGTGTGAAGTAAAATGTCAGCGTACATTTGACATTATGGATGTTTTATTTTTAGATCTATTTTATACACGAAAGTGGAAGAATGAGCCTCAGTGTGAATAGTGGGAAGACAGAAGTAATGGTGGTATCAAAGAAAATAATTACTCCTAAATGTGTAATAAAAGTCAATAGTTTTATTTTGGGACAAGTACGGAAATTTAAGTATCTGGGCACATGGATAACATCAGATGGAAGATGCTTTACTGAAATAGGAAACAGAATAGGACAGGCAAAAACTGCATTTTATAAAATGAAGAACATGTTATGCAATA